GCACTGCTGTGCTTCCACAGCTCTGAGTGTTGGTTCTGTTCCTCTGCTGCCGTCTGGTGGCTATCAGTGGGATGGCGCAGTATTTCAGCAGCGGTGGGGAGCTGGTGGTGTGCTGTTACCCTTTCTTACTGCATTGATGTGTCGAGAACATTTTGAAGGCTGCCTATGACATGCTTTCCTTCCTTCCTTCCTTCCTTCCTTCCTTCCTTCCTTCCTTCCTTCCTTCCTTCCTTCCGTTTTCCTTTATGCTATTGCTGCTAGTATAGGCAAGTTATCTTAATTTTTCTTAATAAAAATATGTTAAGCTAAGATTTCAACATTTATGTGCTTTTCCTTGCTAAAATTCCCTTAATCCTTGGTTATATGATAATTTTGAAATATTGCTCTTGCATCTAATAATTACTTGTAAATAAATCAGTGTCCAACTAGTAACTTCAATACATAAAGATACACACACACACACACACATACACACACACACGAGACACACTCATACAAATAATAGGAAAAAATGTTTTTTGAAAAAACACATCCACCATATAAACATTGCTTAGGAAAAGTTAAGGGCTAGGCCAAAAGCAGTTAAATAAAATAGGCAGCTGAAATATTATGGTCTTGAGAAAAAAATCATAAGAGAACTTAAGATAATAAACTCACCTTCAGCTTTCTTTGGAGCTGGAACATCTTCAGAATCTTCTAGGGAGTAAACAAAAGGATAGTTTATTTTCCAGATTTCCCAAAGAGAAAGTATTGTATTTAACAGGTTTTAAGAGTCACAGGATCTCTTAACTTATAAACTAAGCATCTAGTGTCTCTACAAACAAGATCCTCTGAAATAAGGCAACTTCTCCGACTTAGAGAACGTGGGGAAAAGTGAATGCCATGATGCCTGGACTGTGGGCAGTGCAGTGAAGGCTGGCCAAAGCAAGGAGGGCCTGCGGTGACCCTCCCAGATGGGCCCCTCCTCCTCTGACTCCTAAATTGTCTTTCACAATCACTTCTGGAATCTAGAGAATTTGAGGTAAATGGATTCTCATACACAATGTAGATCAAGAGGAAAATATCCACCCATATATTTTACTAACAAACTGATGTTTGATACTTGTAAAGGCAATTAAAAGACATTAGATGTTGAACTAAAGCCTAAATATACAAAGAATGCATCTTAAGATGCATTATTTATATTGCTTGGTTTTTGTGTAGTCTACTTAAAAGTACATAGTAGAATAACATGGAAATAATTTTGGCACAGATAATTCTAACACAATATAATTAAACGATCTTTAAATTTTCATATCAACTTTTAGCACTTGTAATGATCTGAAAGAAGGTCAATTTTGCATTATTTACTCATGTTTTGCATACCAGCAGTTCTCAAATAAATAAAAAAGAGAAAAAAATAGGTCATTATGCAAATTTTCTCAAATGGGAAAGAAAGGTGACCTTTTGGAAGAAATGTTATTATGTAAAAGAAAAAATGGGCAGTAGAAAAAGAATTACTAGCCTTTTTCTTCATAGCAAATTAGTAGAGTTTTAACCTGATTAGTTTTCTAAAAGATTTAAATGCAGGCTTAACTCACCTAAACACTGGATTAAATGCCCATGGTCTTAAACTGTTCAATCAGCAGATATAAATAAAGGTACAGTATAAATGGCTATAGGGTATTTTGAAGTAACTGGTACCTGTATTTAAAGAATGATGTGAGAGTTGTTAGATAAGTCCAATAATATTTTAATTGTGAAATAAAAATCTGGTAATGTCTATGGAAGATGTTTACAAAATTAAAATGATGCAAGGTCCTTGTACACAAGAAATATACACTCTATTTTTGTATATTACAGCACACTTAAAACTAAGACACCTATCCTCTGGATCTATTTGTTACCCCTGGGGAAATAAATGTGGAGAATAAAAACCATAGCTTCTTCTCTATCCCAAATGTTAGTTTTACAGTCAAAGTGAAAATTACCCTGAAGTTTTCCTGTAATTTGTTCATATAAGAAACAGTTACTTTTCAGCTATAATAATTACAATGAGCTTTCTTTCTGGGCCATGTACTCTTTTGGGTATTTTACATATGTTTCCACTTAAGCTTCACAATAGACCTACAAAGCAGGTAGAATAATCTCCATTTTATGAGAAAACATTGAGGTTAAAATAATTTTCTTTCAAGCAACACATTTTAAAAAGTGGGCTAGAAGATAGGAAGCGAATTTTCCTCAATTTCTAGACTTTTGTGATTTTAACTAAACTATTCTATCTCTACATGCAAAGCACTTTGCTATGTGCCCTGAAAGAACCAAAAAGAAACATAATGCTACCTGGAAGTAACTGGCAGCCAAGTGGAGAAAATGGACATGTACTCAAACAGATATAAGATTCTATGGACTTCAAGGTAATATGTGACAATTGCCAAAATGCTAGTAAATGAGAGATGTTTTCAAGGGTGGAATGGTCACTTCCTCCCATGGAGATCAAATAAGTTTTTCTGGAATTTATTCCATTGCAGATGAACTTTGAAAGTTCATTTAGTCAGAGGTAGGCTGAATATTCTAGTAAAACAGAATGACAGGACCAAAGTTTCAGATGCAGAAATGTTGAGAACATGGAAATTTATATTGGGTTTAAAACTGTGATAGTATAGAAAATGATTATAGAAAAAATATTTTAAATCTAGTTTAAGCCTGGATCATAGAGACTCTAGACGGTTCTCAACCTGTGGGTTTCGACCCCTTTGGCGGTCAAAATCCAGTTTAAGCCTGGATCATAGAGACTCTAGACCAGCGGTTCTCAACCTGTGGGTTTCGACCCCTTTGGCGGTCGAACGACCCTTTCACAGGGGTCGCCTAAGACCATCCTGCATATCAGATATTTACATTACGATTCATAACAGTAGCAACATTACAGTTATGAAGTAGCAATGAAAATAATTTTATGGTTAGGTCACAACATGAGGAACTGTATTTAAAAGGCCAGAAGGTTGAGAACCACTGCTCTAGACCCTCAGGTAAGAAATGTAAAATGTATTCTAAATTCACCAAGAATGAATATTGAACATTTATTACATAAATGGTGTAATCAGTTTGAAATATTGGAAAACTTTATCAATAGAAATGAAAAGGAAGGATGAAAGATATTATTGAGAAGGTAGGCTTCAGAACAATTTGAGGTCTTATCCACAAAGGGGTAGATAGCAAGTTTGGATGAGCCCACCGACAAAGTGCAGAAGGGTAGGAAAGAGAGCTGAGAATGGGAGAACTCAGCCTCTGGGGGAAAAGTAGCAGAATCCTAATACTGAAAACAACAACAACAACAACAAAAATGTCCTACATTATGGGAATCAAGAGAGGAAAACAATTCAAAAAGTGTGAGAGACCAGCAATGTTTAGCGCATCCTAGTGATTTCAAATGGAGGAGAAGTGAGAAAAGGTAATTAAATTTTGCGCTTCGGAGGTCTGCGTTGAGTTGGAAGTGCCCTGTTGGAGGAAAGTGTCCACATAATGTTCAGGTTGCATAAAGTTGAAGCCTGAAGCGGTGGTGAAGGCTGGCGGGAGACTTGTTTCAGAGTTGTGATTACAGGTGAAAGCAGAGCAAAGGCACAATAGCTTCAGGAAGCAAAAAGGGTCAGAGAAATTTTACATGTGAAAGTGATCTGAAGATATTTGTAGGCAAAAAAAGGAGGAGGATTTCTTAGAGTAAGAGCTTAAGGTACGTGATTGACGAGCAAGGATTAGGGGAGGCAAGAAGGACTGGAGTCAAGATAAACATGATTTTCGAAGCAGCAATGCTTCTTAACATGGGAGGATAATGTTAGGTAAAATAATGGGAAAAATAAAAAGAAATTGTAATGTGGAGAGAAGGAACATTTTAAAGAATCCACGTTGGCCGAAACCGGTTTGGCTCAGTGGATGGAGCATCAGCCTGCGGACTGAAGGGTCCCGGGTTCGATTCCGGTCAAGGGCATGTACCTGGGTTGCGGGCACATCCCCAGTGGGAGATGTGCAGGAGGCAGCTGATCGATGTTTCTCTCTCATCGATGTTTCTAACTCTCTATCTCTCTCCCTTCCTCTCTGTAAAAAATCAATAAAATATATTAAAAAAAAATAAAGAATCCACGTTGATGGCATAGACTGTTAATTCTATTATTATTTTATTTTTAGGATAAAATGTTCTGTGTAATGCCCAGTCTGCTCTGAATATTCTTAGCAAACATGAGAAATAAATAAAAACTTCCTAAATAATGCATGTATGTGTACCAGAAGCTGATCTATATTTACTTCCATTAGCAGCCTATTCGAATTTGTGCAGAGTTTCAAGAAATACTCATAGGTAAACATCTGGAGCTCAGATGTGCAGACAAAAGGGTAACAGCATGAAGTTTGTATTCTCCGTCACTCCTCTTTCTTTAATTCCCTGCATCACTTTGTCTTTGCAGAAATACCAACAACTCCAAATTATTCTCTCAATTAATTTGCTGGATTATGTGTAAATAGTCTGAGATTTTACATTCTAAGAGTTTACGTGTTTTCTCTTTTCTGAGAAGTTCAAAGTAGCAGTTGACAGCCAGATTATTTTAGCTATTAGTTATGAAAGTCATCTGGGCATGCTAGGATATAAAATAATCATGAGTTTTAATGAAAATTAACTGGTACACTGAGCAATATCCACCGAATTCTTGAAATTGGCCCCAGGGAATAATAAAGCATGCAGAGACCGTCCACCTTGGGGATTTTGCACAAAGTGAAGCAATGATATTCAATAAACGTGTTCAGTCCTTTCTGAGTGTCTGTCCTGTCACTCTGAGGATAAGACACAGCTGTCTCGAGGGCAATGTCAGAGCAACTGAACATCACCAGGAAATGAATGAGGACACAATGCTGAAATGAATGAGGACACACCTGTGGTATCCAAAGACTAATAACTACACCAGTCATTTCCACACATCAGTACTCCCCCTTCCTGACACAAATGACCAATTGTTGGTAGAGGACCTAGTCCTTCCAAACAACAACAACAACAAAACAACAAAAAACCCACAAGAAATGCAGGCACTAGAGTGTCGCTAGAGAATGTGGATAGAAGGGATCGATGGCTTCAAAGCAGGAGCTATTTCGTAAACTTCCTTTAGTAAGAGACAAATAAATGACCAACAAATAAATAAGAAGTCTAATCCCCCAAATTATACATGTATATAACGTTGAAAAGAGGGTTCAGAAAAATAGCAATGAGGTCTGGGCTTAATTTATCTTTTTCCAGTTAACAACCCTAACCATAGTTCAAGGTACAAATGCTAGAATTACTTCCTTCATAAAGTCTGCCCTGACTAATTTGGCTGTAGGGGAAGGGTGTGGTGTAGGGTAGTTTCAGAGGGCTTTACTGAGGATCAACTCTAAGTTTTGCCCTTGCATTAGTGAGGCAAGTTTGTATCCTTTTAATTATTATCCTTTTTAAAATTCCTAAAGCAAGTCCATGTGGATTTTTATTTTTTGCAGTAAAATAATTTTTAGTGATATATATAGCTTTGGGGAATTGAAATGTGACCAGTAGAAACTGAAATGTTCTGTAAATATAAAATACACACACGATTTCAAAAAGCTCAATATAAATAATAATGTAAATTTGTCTGTAAATGTAAAATACACACACAATTTAATACATTTCTATATTGATACAAGTGGACTTGGTATTTGTATGT